CAGCTTCTTTTGATGACATTTCCAGGATCAAAGGATCAAAGGAGTCCAAAGAGTCCAAAGAGGGAGGGAGGGAAGCCTACCTGCTATTGCTATTGCTATCTCTGGTAGAAGGGGAGGGGGGGGCGCTCCATTCAATAATCGGGCCCGACGTTCTTGGGGCCCAGCGCATCAAAACAAGTCCAAGGTGGTCAATTTCATTAGCCAACAATGCTGGCGTCTATGGAGGCTGGCAGCTCGGAAATTAAAGTTTGTCGGTCCGCTGCCAGCTGTGAATCATAGGACTCTCCACCTTCCCTCAACTCTGGCCCAGGGGCCAATTTCCCCCTCACCAGCTCTCTCTTAGTTCTCCTTTAATCTCTCTTTGTATTGTTGAATACAAAGCAAATGCTAAATAGTTATTTGCACTGATTCATATTGTCTTAACCCCAGTTCTATTTCAGGGCTGCCTAGATAAAAGCATGCAAGCTGTTTGTACGTACTCCCCCCTCCCATTCACTGGCAAAGACAGTAGTACTGTGGCTACCTACGAATTATGTATGCACAGACTTTGCTGACAGGCTTTCCAAGATTTAATATAATATTTGGAAAAGATACACAGATGTTTACCATTTATTTTTATGTTTGAGAATGTAGAGGCAAATTCTGCAAGCAAAAAGAATTCCTTGAGCAGGGCCTTTGTTCTTTATGGAACTGCCTGATCTCTTCAGACTTTATCATTTTGTATCTTGTCTTTTACCACAAAAACCCTCTCCCAAGATGCATTGAATTTTCCTAGAAGTAATGTATTTCCAAATGACTTTATACACATTTTCCTAAGTAGCAATTCTCAGGTTGCTTACTAAGAAAACACAGAAAAAAACGCTTCAAATCTGAGTCATTCAGATTCTAAATATTTAAATGTTAGCTGTGCAACATTGCTGTATTTTTCCCTCGTGTTACTTTATCTTCACTGAAGCTGCTTTGTTTTCCTTTTAGAAGTTCTTAGCAGCAGGCATGGTACTCCACCTAAAGTTCTTCCAACAGGCAGCCCTCTTATTTCTTCACCACAACCAGCTGCTTGTGCTCCAACTTATACGGGAGATCTTCCGCTTCCTACCAACACACCAACATCATCTTCTGCCACGACACCAAGCATCTCAATTTGCACCTTCACTCCTGCAAAGCAAAAAGTTACTTCAAGCACCTTATCAAAACTAGTACTTCCTTCAACTACGTCCATTCAACACTGGGTTACAAAGACTCCAAATTCATCTCCACCTGTAAGGGAAACAAAGATAGCTTCTCCACAAATAGCTGCAGCAGATATTCCTGACACTGCCTTTGCTTCCACCTCACCACATCTGAGGTCAGAAACACGTGCCAAGAGAAGGTTAGAATCAAGCAGGGAAGAAAATATGTGTCTCAAAAGCTGTAACTGTATGACTGAACATCACCCAGAGTCTAAGAAATCCAGACAAGAACAGTTCACTTTGGCAGCAAGTTCAAAGCCTTGTAGAGGAGACTGCCTTACTCTTAATGGAGAAGTACAGAATATTCAAAACTTGAAAGAGCCCTTTTCTCCTAGTAGTCCTTGTTCTTCTGCCACTTGTCTAAATTATCCACATCTTATCGAAACATCTTGTGAGAAGATGGTTGACAAGGAGAATGGTTCTACTGACAGAAGAACCTGGCTGTCTGATTTGGGAAATAAACTCCGAACTAACAAGATGAATAACTCTAGTGGGTCATCCTCATCATTACGGAATCCAAGCACAAAACGAGTGGAAGCTAGAACAGGAGCTACATCACCAGGCCCTGTAAGTAAATTACACATGATTGCTAAACCAGCTTTGTTAATTTGGTCAAAATTCTTTTTACAAGTATTACATATTATAGTAGAAGCAACATCCATGCTAATAAGTAGCAAAATAGTCTCTTTGCTATAAAAATGGAGGGCTAAACTAATATCAAATTAAGTCAGTATTGTTTAGCCAAAAAGCATCACTCTTGTGCATAATAGGCAAAGATGGGGAAGTGGCCCATGCTTCGGAGCACACAAATAGTTTGAAGAATCTCTAATACTGACTATGAACTATGGATACTCAATTGTCAGAAATTGACTTTCTTAATTTCCAAAACTGAAACTAAAGTATGAATAAACTTCTACCCCTTACATAGCCCAATGTGGTCTGCAGGCAAGTTTTTATACAGCACATGTTTGAACATGTATAAATATGGAGTTTGTAATCTTTAACTACAGAGTTTGGATGAATTTTATACTTGCTGTCTTTTGTTCTATGTTCTAAAACTAATGGTAAGACTGTATAGCATAAATCTATAATGGTATAGAGATGATGTTTTTCTTTTTCAAGATGTAAGGCTACTAAAGATTTAATAAATGTACTGTTCGTTTTTTAAATCCTGCGCCCCCCCCCACTCCAAGCAAAAAAATATGCTAGTGTGGTTTTATGTTTGCTAGATGATTATTTCTTTTGGCCAAGATGATTGGTTTCTGTCTGTCTCTTTTTGATAATGGATAGATCTGATAGTGATACTGTTTACCACTTTCACATCTTGTTACTAGATATGTACAAACAGCCATCAGTGTATTGCTTTAATTTCTGCACTATGTAGGAAGTTGTCTTCAATTGTGAAATCTATTGTGTAAGCCTTCTTAGACTGATTTAGAGTACCCTACTGGACTACAACTGCTTATTAACTTTCTGGCTACATAAGAATTCATGTATGATAATTAGTTAGCTGCTAATGTAGAGAAATTGATTAGAATGACCCTGGAAAGGACAAAACTGTAAAGATGAAACTTTTATGCTGATAATTATATTTGACTAGATTTTTTTGTTTTTAATCTTACAGATTATGACTACAATAACAATGAGGAAGATTTGTACATACTTCGAGCGAAAGTCACAAAAAAACTAAAGAACTATGTTTTGAGTGTACCTTAATGCTGAAACATGTATTTTATTAATCCAGATGGATTTAGTTTTATCCACAAAAAAGATACCCATGCATTTTAATTAAAACGAATACTTCCTGTTTCTAATTTTTTTCTATTTACTGTCTTGCATTTAATTAGTTAGGGCACTAATTAAATGGAGAAACAGGCTCAATGAATGAAACAGCCAATCCCTTTGATTTAAGATTTGCGTTTATTTCTTTTATGGTAAATTGCAGAAAATATTTTTTCAAACCTTTTTTGAATATACTTTTACCTATTTGAATGTACTTTTAATTGCTAAATTAGTACATAAGGCAAAACAGAAAAGGAATCCATTCAAGAATGTTTTACTTGATCTACCTTATACTAAAGGAAATGCCTTTATTTTATACATCCCAGTTTCCCATTGTATTGGTGTAAAAATATTTTCTTATAAAGTACACTTTTCTTAACATTGCAGCTCTTTTTCTTCTTTTGCAATGGAGCAGATAATAAGCAGGAGGGACAAAAAACCTACTGCGCACTCCTGGAGGAAATCTGACACTTGAATTCTGAAGCAATTCAAAGAAGTGGTGAAAGCTAAACTTTTGGCTCGATGATTGTTTTGTATTGAGCATTTACCTTTTCATAGCACAGTCAAGTTCCTAAAATTGACATATGTTGCCATGTTCATCACATTAGGAATATATAGGTTATTAAAACTATCTACAAAAAAATAGTGTAATTTCATATCAAGTGATAATGTATTTCTCGTCAATATTTTCTTGACATATGAAGTAATCAGGTATGTTATAGCTAAATAAATGTATAGTCCTAGTGAAAAAGGGGGATCTTTTTCTACTCTGTAAGCCTGCTAGAGTCACTTACAAAGGTGAGATGGGTGGCAAATAAATAAAGTAAATAAATAAATAAATCAGCAATTCCCAAGGTCACTCAGTCATTGGCTCACTACAGAAAGTAATTTTATCTTTTAACACATTGTTTTAAATATCTTCCTATATGTACTGACTAGTGACTGCTAATTTGGATCATATCCATATTAACCATCTGCATGGATGTGCTGAGAGTATGTATTCATTCATGCTCTGCTCTTACATAATTGCTACAATTATTTCTGATTAGCATATTTTGATGCTTTCAATAATTTTTCCTTCTAAGTATTTGGTATGTATATTTGTCTACTTAAGCTAATGAATGTACTACATGTGCTTTCTTTAGATTCACTTGAGCCGCAGTCTATTAGATTTGCAGATATTAGAGGACCTTGTATTTGTTACAAGTGGTCTTAACACAAGTTATCCCTCTGAAATTTATATCTGTGTTGCTGCAAGAAGCATTTTTCAACTTAGAGCTCTGCAGGCTGTTCCTAAAGATGATTAGGGAACTGGAGCATAAAATATATGAAGAACGGTTGCAGGAACTGTGTATGTCTAGTTTAATGAAAAGAAGGACTAAGGGTTCCAATATCCCAGGGGTTGCGACAAAGAAGAGGGAGTCAAGCTATTCTTCAAAGCACCTGAATGTAGGACAAGAAGCAATGGATAGAAAACAATTAGTGGAATAGCTTGCCTCCAGAAATTGTAAATGCTCCAACACTGGAAGCTTTTAAGAAGAGATTAGACAACCATTTGTCTGAAATGGTATAGGGCAGGAGTGTCAAACTGGTGGCCTGCGGGCCAAATGTGCCACACACAAGCCATGGCCACCCCAGCTCTGCAAAGGCAAGAGCTAATGATACATCACGTGGCATGATTGACTTTGTAAGGGTTTCCTGCCTGAGCAGGGGTTGGGCTAAAAGACCTCCAAGGTCCTTTCCAACTGCTATTCTATTCATTTGATTCTCTGATTCATTTGATTTCTATAAAGATTTAGGTCAGTAACTATCTACATAGAAAGAAGATACAATCTGTCCCAAATGCTGATATTTCTTTTGCACATGAAACAAAGTTTCTTATACTCCTAATAAAAAACATTAAGAAAATGAGACAAGTTCCTCTACCTCTGCTGAATTTTTCGCTTAACAAGAGTATACTAGGGTTAGGCTATACAATCCCTGTCTTAATTGCATTTCTGCACAAGTTTTGTTATATTTGTTTTCCATTTCTCCTCTCGTATTACTGCAGGAGTATTATTCAATTAAATTGCTTATGTATTTTAGATTAAACATTGATTAACATTGGTACTCTATTGTACCTACAAGGTAATCAGGTAAAAACTCAAATGAGTTTTTTCTCACACTTTGTGTGATATTGTTTTTGGCAATTTTTAAGGGCCCTGCTATAAGGCCCATGTTATCAAGTTTAAGAAAAAAGTGGGATATATTTTACTATCATTTAAAAAATCCATCTGTAAGCATTGATTAAACCTTACATTTCCCTGACATTCTCCTGGGCATATTCATTTGTCTACCTATAGGAAGTGGTTGTATGTGACATCTTTATGTATGCTATTGGAAGAATACCATTATTTGTATGCGTGTGTACATACATACATACATACATGCATACATATAAAAAGGGAAATAGTATAAATAATATAAATACAGGGGAATTAGTTTGCTAAATTGGAAATCTGGAAAGTTGTTTCTCAGAATTCTGATAGGAAGGGTATGACAGGTGAGCAAAAGGAGGGAAGTAAAGTGTTAGGTCAGATAAGGTATGTGCAGACCATATGAAAAACGTCTAAGCATTGTGTGTGTTGAGTCAGAAAATGCACTATAACGTTAATAGAACTTAATTCTGGAATGTTTCACATGAACATGGAATTGATTGGTTGCTGAATACAAATAGAATGGAATATGATACAAGTAAAGTATGCAGGAAGGTAAATAGAATGCTTAGTGAATAGTTCAATACTTAACAGAATAATATATGGATTGTGATGGCCTCTTGATTTAATTTATTTATGGATAAATGTACCAGGAATGCTTGCAGTAATGTTAGTTTGGGTCATGAATAATATGCATGCTTTTTGTGCAGATGATGTATAAAATATATCTTTGTAAGCAGATATTACCAGGGCTGAGAATCTGAATGCTTTTCAGTGAATACCACATTGAGAATTAGAAACAGAAAATTAATGTATCAAAAGCATCTCATATTTGACAGATATGGTTGATATTATACAGCCTTTTGTAAGGAATAACTTAACATGCAAATGGCTATGTATAAGTGATTTGGTGGAAATAAGAGATAGATACATTAGGAATAAATCACAAAACCAAAACAAATACATGAAGAAACATCAATAAAATAGGACACTTATTGAATGAAATTGATAAGTTCATCAAAAAAAATGTAAGTTGAAAGAAGCAATTGATATGTGAATTAAGTTTATGGATCTAGAGAGAACAAAAATGATTTGTAAGCATGCAAAGGTATTACATTTCTGTTTTCCTTGTCTTATTTTTCTGTATTCCTTACTCATTTTCTGTCCTTAAGAATAATAATAACAATAATAACATAATAATGTTGGTTTTCAAAGGGAACAGAATATTAGGTATGTTAAAGTTAGTGACATAAGAGATAAAGATTTTTTATAGAATGATACTGTCCTTAAAACAAAAAATATGTCCCAAGAAGAGCAAAGAGAATGGCAACATTGCATCAAAGTTTCATGAAATATCTAAACTAATTGTGCCACCAAGTTGGCTTCATATTTTGGTAATCAAATTTATTTGTGGATATTCTCTAGAATTCTCTTACTAACCTGATAAATAACTACTAATAAATAAAAAACTGCAACATAGGAATGGAAAATATTTACCCCCATACTTTTGTTAGCTTAAAACCAACTTCCAGGGGAGGTAATGGGTCAATCATCAGTAATGGGGTATAAAGATTCTTGGAGTAAACATGTCTATGACAAAAAAAATATAAAATAAAAATCATAATTAAAATGTAATAAATATTTTAAAAAAACATTGAAGGGCAGATATGATGGAGCATTGAGTCTGCTGTCAGTTTTCTATTTTTCTAGATTCCATTCCAGTCAGCATGAATTTGCCAGAGCAATTGGAATGTAGAAACATGTGGAGAGCCACAGTTGCCCAGCCTCTTCTTTAGAATTTACAGGAACTATGCAAATAGGCAGTTCCCATACATCAATCTTATCTATCTTTCAGTACTGTCTGTTCCAGCACTCCCTAACCATTGGCCTTTCAGATATAATACATATCAGTTCCCATAATTGTCTGCTAGGCTAGAATTAGGATACGATCCAGTACATATATAAATCACTAGATTGGGGAAAGCTGGTGTATTTCAACTGACAGAAACTCAAGTTCTTAACGGAGCGCTTCCCCTTACCTACTGCTTGATTTCTTTTATGGAAAGTTATGGAAATAAAACAATGGTCCTTGAAGCATATCTTCACTGTAGGATTATTGTCTCCCCAGTCAGTTTAATCGCTCTGGTTGTCTAAAGACTATGAACTGATCTTACGCTTACTTCAGACTCAACAAAGTTTATAGATATCATGAAGTGTCCTTGTATATTAAAGCACCAGGGTTGTTGTTTTTTTTAGCAATCAGTATTCTACTGAACGTTTGCTACCACTGATTTCAATGGAAGTGTAATTCTTCTGGCTAGTCTCTGCTGAACTTGGGTGGTGTTTCCAGAAAAGGAATTTTCCAAGAGAGGCTTTAAAAAAGTTTCCAAAAATGAATAAAGGTGTTTTCTGCAATGGGGGAATAAGGTAGAAGAGAGAGATAAGCTGTTGAATCTCTTTTGACTAAGTTTTTTGGGGTGGGTGGGAGGAAGGTACAATTTGTAGAGGAGAAAATTGTAACAAAAAACAGAAAATGTTTATTATTTATTAATCTCTTTCCCAGAATTTACATTTTTATCAGGCCTCAATCCTATGAGATTAAAAATATCTCATAATAAATACCTTTGAGCACGTGCAAAATACTTGGTATGTTTCCCATGAGATATGGAAATATAGCATTCTTTATCAATATGATGTAAAATTTATGTTGAAAATCAGGATTGGGATTTTGATAGTAGT